CCTGCCGTAAGCTATGCCCAACACATCTCTGCCTCAACATCTGTATACGTTCGTGTCCTAGTGTCTGTGACACTTGCTGTCCACTTTCTATGCCCATCGTGGTAACAGCAGCAGCACCACCATCGGCGACTTTACCACCAGTGCCGACAACGTCACCTGCCCCACCACCGCCACCCCCACCACCTACCACTCTGCCTCCACCGCCACCCCCACCACCTACCACTTTGCCTCCACCGCCACCACCACCACCATCAACTACCCCTGCGCCAGTGCCATCGCCCGTACAACAGGCCTTGCCTGCTCCAGCGCCTGTACAACAAACCGCTCAAGTACCTGTGGCTCTACCGCAGGCCATAGCCATACCTCTGCCTCAGCCACTGATTATCGAATCACCTCCCATTGCTCCAATGACATGCTTGCCGATTTGCCGACAGCGTTGCTATGACATGTGCTCCACACCACAGTGTATGAACATGTGTCTCAGAAGATGCCCGCAATTCTGCAGGAAGGACTTCATGATGATGCCTATGATGGATCGGGTAAGTAAATTCTCAATTACTTTTTGCCTCCGTTTGTTCAGTAGCTGATTGTACACATTTAGCTCATTGTTTGCTCTTGCACATTTGTTCAGAGATCCAATTACAAAAGCCCTTAGCCGTCAATCAAGTCTTGCTCATTCAAACTAGATCCTAGTAGAGTTTTTTCAGATGCCCTGTCACTCGTTCGACGGAGGATGCGGTTGTAACATGGGCTACACTCAGTGTGGTGGAATGTGCTGCAGGAGTCGATAATGGATCTCTCCGATTTCTTCGCTTAAATGATTTAATTTATTTATTAAACAATCGGATTGTAAACTAATTTATTGAAGCGATAAAAATGGTTATGAAAAAGTTTTGCAATCAGGCGTAACAAATTTGATAAGCAATAACACAGAAGAGATCCAGTCCATTTGCTTACTCTAACGCAAGTTGACATAAACTGCGATTAGCAAACAAACGTTATGAGTAAGTACTGTAATCAAGAAGTTTTTCAAGCTATCAGTGTTAGCAGCTTTCAAAACCACAATAATGTATAGCATAAGGGGAGCTGCTTTAATCGGTGAGATCAAGGTCGCAGCACCCCTGGCCTGCTGGAACCACTAACTTTCCAGGAATGGTATAGTAACAGAGTAATCTGAAACAGTTCAAGTGCTTAGCAGCTGAACCTTAAGTCATTGTAGGATTGGCACGCAGTGCGTAAGCCACAGAGAAGTTAGTGCGTATAGCTTTGTTTTTGTAAACGTGACCACCCAAGGTGGGATGTTTATTGCTTAAGGGTTGAAGGGCAACCTCAAGGTTGTCATCCTTTCTTGCGAAAGTTTTTTGTTTGAAATGTTATAAGTTTAAGATTTTGGCATGCGAGCATTCACAGCCTTATAAACCATCAAGTGTGTGTGGTGCCTGTTTGCACCGAAAACCTCAGATTTGATCTAGCACTCCCAATAACAGTATACCTCGTTGAATGTTGTGTCGAGCCTCGCAGAAATAGAGTCCATAAGAAACCCCATATTGAACATTTAAGAATGAATTTGCCGAGCCCAAAATATTGCCATGAATATTTATCAAAGTGTTGCAATATCTCCTTATCCGGAGGTGGAAAAAATTGAAGCTTTTATCGTGGGACCGCCAAACGTATTCTCCATCTCTCATGTGCTGATATTCGTCTATATATTTCATTCATAAACAAATCTTGAAAAGGGTGAAATTTAAGAATCTTGGGTTCAATGCGAGCAAGTATTATTCGGGTTCTTCGCAAAGAATTATCAAATTTTGAGCTACCAGAACTTCGATTTCCTATGAAAGAGACAAGTGGCGTTAGGACGAGGAAATCATCCTCGACAGACTAAGCGGACGATTATTACTACTTTTTTAGTCTTCGGAAAACAATATATGACAGACCTTGATTCTTTCGAAATTTTAAACGTTCGTTGATCACTCGTTGATGTTTCCAGTTCTGAAACTTTCCTGCTTGTCCTAAGATTTTCCACGTGATCCAGCTGTCCTTTTCTCAAGCGCGTTTGTAAACTCATGATGGAGAAGTCCTTTCGGAGCGATAGAAAAGATCTGCGGATTAGAGTGCAGGTTCAGCTCAGTGTTGAAGGTTTTTCTAGAAATTTTGATGATAGCTTGTTAGATAGAGTTTCATAATTGTCAAAGCATTTTCCTATAGGCAACATATCGTTGTTGTGCGTAAAAGAGTGGTTTGAGACTTATGACAGAAAGCAGAATCTATACGTATTTGGAAAAAATCGGTAAAAAACTTTTTTGCCTTCTTATCTTATATATAAAGCTAAATGTCTGTTTGTCTGTCTGT